CACAAACCACACCTTTTCCTGGTCCATCGACCAATCAAAAAGCTCTCAAATGACCCGGAAGTCGACCCATTTAAAATGTGGCAACTTCCCAGTTCATGAGTTGCTGCAGTTGCTGCGCTCAGGAATGAGTTTAACTGGAGAGAGTGCTGGAGTCTGAAGTCTGAAGCAGACGCTGAAGATTAATGGAGCTAAAAGAGTCTGATGCTGCAGAGCTCTGAGAGTTCCACACAGAGTGAAAGGAGATGAAAGGAGTTCAGAGTTCTTGGATGCAAACGCGTTCAGGATGATCCAGAGACGTTTTGGGATTATAACTTCTGTTTGAACAACCACGTACGACTCTCGAAGGATTTCAGCTGCTCTCAACGGAGACGCTGAAAGAGTCTGAAGGATTCTATACCGAGCTGATTTATCGTCAACCAGGTAACGATCTACTTCGACCAAGTGTACCGTCGCAAGCTGAGATCTGAAGGAGCGTGCACGTTTCTGGTCAAACAGATTAATTCCCTCACAAATCTCTCTGTAAGATAAATCTCCATTTCCATCTTAAACTCTGCTTTCTCCTAAAATCAGTACAGATATTTTAGAAATATCTGAAGCAAAGTCCTCGATCACCGCCGTGTGATTGAAGCCCATTTTCTGTGAAACTTGTCTGTTATTATTTTCATATTTTGCCAAATTAATGTAAATGTTTGATGTTAAACTTTGATTCTGAAAATAAATGACCGCATTCATTTTGATGGGTCAAAGATAAATAACGTCTCTCGTTACATTTCTGTTAAAATTCAATGCACGACATTTACACAGTCAGAAAGATGAGGAACTCGTGAAAAGTATGAATATATAACCCTATATGACATACTACAGCCCTACAGAACACAAAATCTCCCTGTTAGCGGACAATGTCATTTTATTTCTAACAGATCTGAAAAAGTCAATTCCGGCGGTGATGGAAGTGATCCAGGAATTTGGAAGAGTCTCAGGTTATAAAGTAAATAATACAAAATCTTCTATTCTTGTATTAAATGTAAGTGAAAGGACTAATCCCATCAGTGAGGTTATGCAATTTAAAGTAGTGAAACATTTTGAATATCTGGGTGTTCAGATCTTCCCAGAACTACAACAGGTTGTCAAATCTAATTATGAACACCTAATGAGAACAATAGCTGCCTCAATTGTCAACTGGACATCCCTGCCTATATCCATGTTGGGAAGAGTTAATGTTCTGAAAATGAGTATACTACCAAAGCTATTATACCTCTTTCAAAGCATTCCCCTGCCGCCTCCTCCTGAATTATTCATTTGGCTAAAAAAAAACATTTTGGGCTTTATGTGGAACAACGGAAGAGCTAGGATACGCCTCTCTTTGCTTTATTTACCATTTGATAGTGGGGGGTTAAAGTGCCCCAATTTTAAATTTTACTATTGGGCAACAGAATGAAGGACTATTGTGTTCTATTTTGCAGATAATGATAATCCTCACTGGGTAGAAATGGAGTCCCATAACTTAAGTTTAGCTCTTCCTTTATTCATATACAGGTCCTTCTAAAAAAATTTGCATATTGTGATAAAGGTAATTATTTTCCATAATGTAATGATAAAAATGAAACTTTCATATATTTCAGATTCATTGCACACCAACTGAAATATTTCAGGTCTTTAATTGTTTTAATACTGATGATTATGGCATACAGCTCATGAAAACCCAAAATGCCTGTCCCAAAAAATTAGCATATCATGAAAAGGTTCTCTAAACAAGCTATTAACCTAACCATCTGAATCAACGATGTAACTCTAAACACCTGCAAAAGATTCCTGAGGCTTTTAAAAACTCCCAGCCTTGTTCATTACTCAAAACCGTAATCATGGGTAAGACTGCCGACCTGACTGCTGTCCAGAAGGCCATCATTGACACCCTCAAGCAAGAGGGTAAGACACAGAAAGAAATTGCTGAACGAATAGGCTGTTCCCAGAGTGCTGTATCAAGGCACCTCAGTGGGAAGTCTGTGGGAAGGGAAAAGTGTGGCAGAAAACGCTGCACAACGAGAAGAGGTGACCGGACCCTGAGGAGGATTGTGGAGAAGGGCCGATTCCAGACCTTGGGGGACCTGCGGAAGCAGTGGACTGAGTCTGGAGTAGAAACATCCAGAGCCACCGTGCACAGGCGTGTGCAGGAAATGGGCTACAGGTGCCACATTCCCCAGGTCAAGCCACTTTTGAACCAGAAACAGCGGCAGAAGCGCCTGACCTGGGCTACAGAGAAGCAGCACTGGACTGTTGCTCAGTGGTCCAAAGTACTTTTTTCAGATGAAAGCAAATTTTGCATGTCATTCGGAAATCAAGGTGCCAGAGTCTGGAGGAAGACTGGGGAGAAGGAAATGCCAAAATGCCAGAAGTCCAGTGTGAAGCACCCACAGTCAGTGATGGTCTGGGGTGCCATGTCAGCTGCCAGTGTTGGTCCACTGTGTTTTATCAAGCACAGGGTCAATGCAGCTATCAGGAGATTTTGGAGCACTTCATGCTTCCATCTGCTGAAAAGCTTTATGGAGATGAAGATTTCATTTTTCAGCACGACCTGGCACCTGCTCACAGTGCCAAAACCACTGGTAAATGGTTTACTGACCATGGTATTACTGTGCTCAATTGGCCTGCCAACTCTCCTGACCTGAACCCCATAGAGAACCTGTGGGATATTGTGAAGAGAAAGTTGAGAGACACAAGACCCAACACTCTGGATGAGCTTAAGGCCGCTATCGAAGCATCCTGGGCCTCCATAACACCTTAGCAGTGCCACAGGCTGATTGTCTCCATGCCACGCCTCATTGAAGCAGTCATTCATGCAAAAGGATTCCCGACCAAGTATTGAGTGCATAACTGAACATGATTATTTGAAGGTTGGCGTTTTTTGTATTAAAAACACTTGTCTTTCATTGGTGGGATGAAATATGATAATTTTTTGGGACAGGCATTTTGGGTTTTCATGAGCTGTATGCCATAATCATCAGTATTAAAACAATTAAAGACCTGAAATATTTCAGTTGGTGTGCAATGAATCTGAAATATATTATGAAAGTTTCATTTTTATCATTACATTATGGAAAATAATGACCTTTATCACAATATGCTAATTTTTTTAGAAGGACCTGTACTACAAATCCTATTCTGAAAAATATGATTAGAATCTGGCAGGATGTTAGAAAATACCTCGCGGAGCCAAACAGCATGTCCCAATTTAGCCCAATATGGGGTAATCAGCTGTTTGCTCCAGGTAGGGCAGAAGAACGTTTAAGCTTTGGGCATTGCAAGGCTTAAAAAGTATTGGTGACCTTTACCCATCAAATTCTGATATATTTTTGTCATTTGGAGAATTACAAACCAAGTTCAAGCTAGAAAAAAAGCATTATTTTAAATTTCTCCAATTGAGAAGTTTTAAATTACACTAATCTTAACAAGCCTCCCCTTACATTGCTTGAAAAATTAATGATTAGGAATAAATCAAGAAAGGGCATTATTTCAGACTTTTATAATGTGCTGATCTCTAACTCGTTAGAGAACTCAAATAAAAAGCTTATAAACTGGAATATGGACCTATCATCAAATGTCAGTGAACAGGATTGGAAAAGGGCTTGCATTAAAACCTACACAATGTCCATAAATAGCCGTCCCAGAATTTTACAATTTAAATGGCTAATGCGTGTTTATGTTACGCCTGTGCATTTAAATAAATACAACAATAATATCCCAGATCTTTGCGTAAAGTGTAATTCTAAAGGGACTTTAATACACTGCATGTGGGAATGCAGACAAATCAATGCATTTTCATTTCTCTGATATGAGAAAGAATAATTACTGTCATGTAATAACTACAAAGAAAACTTGTTCAGATAGTTACATGATTGTATTTCCAAAGTGGAAGATCTCGATAAAAATATTTTGGTAAAAAAAAGGTGTCTCAGTCTAACTTTTGCTTAATAAATGCACTTTGACAGTCAAATTAGATATATTTCAAAACCTGCTTCGCAAAAGCAGGCACGCACAGAGGGACGAGTCTCTGCATTTTTTCGAAATTTAACAAGATAACCACCTAAAACAATTATTTATTAGCTCGACTTTATAGTAAAGGTATGTCTCAGTCTACCTTTTGCTTAATAAATGCACTTAGACGGTCAAATCAGCTGCATTTTCAAAAGCCGATACGCAGAAACATGAATGCACAGAGGGAGGACTCGCTGTCCAGTTATCTGAAATTTAACAAGATAACCACTTAAAACAATTATTTGTTAGCTCGACTTTACAGTAAAGGTGTGTCTCAGTTGAACTTTTACTTAAAAAATTCACTTTGACGGTAAATCAGCTGCATTTTGCCGGGACGGCGCAGCAAAATGAAGCTGATTCGGTTGCTCCAGGCAGACGACAGTGGCAGATTATGGCAAGTCAATTGTGTCATTAATAGTCACTTTTACCTATTAATTCAATTAATTCAGTTTAGTTATAATGTGCCATGTCAAAACAGAGTTGTCTCAGAGCAATGAACAGAAAAATTCATATATAAATAAGTTAACAGAAACATTCATATTTAAAAATAATAATTTAACATTATTTATCTGAGGAGCAGACTGCTTTGAGATCAACTCCATTACATGATGCAACGGCATGCCTTACTACTCGACTGCCATCTAGTGGCTGAAAATGGTACTGTTCGATTTTTTTCAGTCAGAATGAATGAAAACGGTCATATGTCAGCCAAAAATTGGTTTATAAATATGGGAAAAAAAATTCATAAATGCCTCGCTTCAGCCTATAAGTCACAGGGCATGCAAATTATGTAAAAAAATAAAATAAAAAGCGACTTATACCGTGAAAAATATGGTAGATATGCTACTGAATGACCACAGAAATCTACTGTGACAATGAAATATTGATGTGATGAAAAAAGGAGAGGGTTAGAAACATATTTCTAACTTGAGAACAGTTCTGTTCCTCTCAGATCTAACAAAACTCACCCCTTTGTATCAAGCTCCTCATGCTTGGAAATGTAAAGACACTGTTTCTTCAATGGATGATCTGTGTCCTTCTCTACATCATCATCCTCAGAGGAGGAGCTTTCAATAGTCAGGTCAATGACATCAGCCTTCTTGGTAGAGCTGGTTTCAGTAGGGTGGGGTACCACTGACAAATGGCGTACAGGAGCTAAGGCGAAAACAAAAAAAATACAAATTAATTTGATTAGTGACAAAAACGTTTAAACTTTTTTTTTTCTCTGTCCTCCAGTGGAACCAGACATGTCTCCCTATCCCCCCCCCCCCCGCTTCCTTGCTTGCACTCTTGTCCTGTGAACCATTAAAAAGTTTCTGTTTTGATTTTTTTCTGCATACCTCTTAATTGGTTGAGCATAGACTTTGTTGTTTTCAACCAGTTTGACAAGACTGTCAACAAGGAAGAGGGCCGGCAATGGAGGAGGGGCGTACCAAAGAGACCATCTAATCACAAGCAGAACTGGTTTGTTCCACTTTATAGTAAGCTGTTGGGGGAAGAATCAGTTTTGTTGTGTGTTTCCTTGACTGATGAAGCCTTCCGGACCGAAGGCGAAACGTTTCAGCACAAAAAAAAAGAAACCGTCCAGATGACCTGACTGAAAAATGTTGCAAATGAACATGAAAAGTATGAACATGAAAAGTATGAACATGAAAAGTATGAACATGAAAAGTATGAGCATGTACAGCATCAATACTTAGTTGTTGCTCCTTTTGCCAGGATTACTGCAGAAGGTGTCAGCAAAGGTCAAAGGAAAAGTTTACAACACAGTGGTGAGAACAGCTATGTTGTATGGTCTGGAGACAGTGGCATTGACAAAAAGACAGGAGAAAGAACTGGAAGTGGCACGAATGAAGATGCTATGGTTCTCCTTAGGAATGACAAGGCTGGATAAGATCAGAAATGAGATCATCAGAGGTACAGCACACGTTGAACAACTGGGAGATAAAGTAAGGGAGGCCAGACTGAGATGGTTTTGACATGTCCAGAGGAGGGACCGTGGGTATATTGGCAGGAGGATGTTAGAAATGCAGCTGCCAGGAAAAAGACAAAGAGGAAGGCCAAAGAAGAGATATATGGATGCAGTTAGAGAGGACATGAAGGTAGTTGGAGTGAGGACAGAGGATACAGAGGACAGAGTGAGGTGGAGGAGGATGACTTGCTGTTGCGACCCCTGAAGAGGGAAAAGCAGAAAGAAGAAGAAGAAGAAGACTGCAGCAATGTGGCGTGGCATGGAGTGGATCAGTCTGTGTCACTGCTCAGGTGTTCTGAGAGTCCAGGTTGCTCTGATAGTGGCCTTCAGCTCTTCTGAATTGTTGGGTCTGGTGTATCACATCTTCCTCTTCACAATACTCCATAGATTTTCTATGGGGTTAAGCTCAGGTGATTTTGCTGGCCAATTAAGAACAGGGATACCATGGTTCTTAAACAAGGTACTGGTAGCTTTGGCACTGTGTGCAGGTGCCAAGTCTTGTTGGAAAATTAAATCTGCATCTCCATAAAGTTGGTCAGCAGCAGGAAGAATGAAGTGCTCTAAAACTTCCTGGTAGATGGCTGTGTTGACCTTGGACCTCAGAAAACACAGTGGACCAACGAGATCCTGGAGTTGGTGGGAAACTCAGCTTGTGACAACTGGAGGACCGGGATCATCCCCCGGCACCTTCGGCTGTCTGTCCATGGCGACAAGGAACTCGGCAAAGTGCTGGGAGGAGTGACCATCACTCAGGGAGGGATTCTGCACGGCATTCAGGCAGTCCTGCTGCCCATGAGGACCGAGAGGCCACCCAGATCTGACAGTAAGCTTGATCTGGGTGGACGATTCAGTATCTGTGGCCAGATTCTTCGGATTCGCTGCAGGAGGTCCTTCCTGCCCACAGCTATCAGCATCTATAACACCTCTTGAATGAAACCAGGATGATGAGCTACAAGACTTAATTTTCCTTTGGGATTAATAAATTATTTTTTTAATTGACTGAAGACACTCTGTTGTTGTATGACAGTCTGATGAAGAGGATGCTGAGGGTTGTCTATAATGTTCTTCATTTTATGAAGAATCCTTCTTTGAACAATCATCGCCAAAGGTTCTAGAGGAGTCCCCAGAACTGAACCAGCCTTCTTTATGAGCTTGTTGATCTTTTTAAAGTCACTTGCTCTGGTGCTGCTACCCCAGCAGATGATGGCAGAAGAGACAGCGCACTCTACAAGAGACTTATAGAAGATATGCAGCATCTTGCTGCAAACAATGATGGACTTCAGCTTCCTCAAAAAGTAGTCTGCTCTGTCCCTTCTTGTAGACGCTTCACTGTTGCATCTCCAGTCCAGTTTGTTGTCCAGGTGAACCTCAAGGTATTTATACTTCTCCAGCACCTCCACGTCTTCTCCCATGATGGAAATAGTGTTGGAAAGCCACCTCTTCCACCTTTTCCAGAATGTTTCCAAAGTGTTCCCAGGCCAGCTGAGAGAGTCCAATCCAACTTTCAAACGCCACAGTAGACCAAAGTGCTGTTCAGTCATTATTAAAACATGGCTCACAATACAAAATACAGTCATACTAAGTAAATTAAAACCAAGCCATAAAAACTATCAAATGCAAAAAACTGGGTCAAACAATAAAATCAGATAAAAAAAAATATAAAATCTATTAAAATAAATCAGAAAAATTACTAAAATCTGCTCTTTACCAAGTGTTAAAAAAACATAGAAAACGAGTAGGTTTTAGGAAGAGTTTTAAAAACAGACAATGAAGAGGCCTGTCTAAGTTGGAGGAGCAGCTCGTTCCACAGTTTAGGAGCTGCTGCAGTAAACGCTCAATCTGTCTTGAGTAGGGCTGGGTACCTTTCTAAAAAAAAATCGGTATCGGTGCCGGTGTCGGTACCTTCACTTCGGTGTCGGTTCCTGGACGGTTCTTTTTTCGGTACCAATTTTGTAATTACTATTAATTCTAACAAGAATAAAATTACGTTACACATTACAGTACAAATTGTGAGTTTTATTTTTTAACTTCGGTATTTTTCTATTCCAAGCAGTTTTCTTACATAAAAACAAACAAATAATTTCCAGTTCAAAAGACCAGTTACAAACCAGTGACACATCAGTGTCTAATGCTCACTGCTGCACACTGAGGATCTTTTCACTGAACAGTTTTTCTTCAGAAAAATCAACATGTCTGCTTTCTGTGGACACAAAACAAGCTCACTCCTGGCTGATGGTGTCTCCAGCAGTAGAACATGTTCACTCTGAGGCTGTAGATGATGATCGTTGTACACACAGATACCTGGTTGTCAGTTTGACAGCACTGACATATTGTCCCTCACATCCCACCAGCAGGGCACTGGATACAATGAGGTTAGGGTTGATGCAGACTTTTGCACCTATGTGTCTCTTCTTGAATCTTCTCTGTGGTTCTCTGGGGTTTAGGGCTCTGATCATCTCCCTAATTGACATGAGAACAAAACATCAATAACATGGTTGTGTTATTATTACTCAAAAAACATTATCTAGGATGAGAGATAAAAGCTCAACTGGTCAACAACATCCTTTACAGTTAACTTACCTCCACCATGCAGCTCCACTGTAGAAAAAGCAGCAAACTTTTAACAACAAAGTCTGACTGTCCTGTGGCCCCCACCTCGCTTTTCTTTTGTCCTGCTCACATCAGGGTCAGAACCTCCTGTGAGGAGAACATGAACATAAACAGTGAACATTAGTGAACTGTTTAAGCAACTGACTGGATGGATGAGCACATTTTTACAAGCTAAGATTTATGTTACTGTCAATCTTTAGTTAGCTTCTGAGTTTAGCTAGCTATGTAGATAAAATAAATTTACACACTAATATCTTAAAGCTAGCGTTACATGGATCAATTTATTTCACCGGGATGTACGTGTTAAGCGTGTTAACAAATGTAAACTCACCAGCTGAAGCACACAGAGCCGTCCTCGGAGTTCTTTGATGAAGAGTCCGGTCGTGGAGATAATGAATCAGGACGTTCAGGCTCACACAGGCTGACTTTAATGGTGAGAGGAGGGGGGAGGCTAACGAACTCTTCTCTCCTCGCAGAAAAACACGGAGCAACTTTCTGCTCATGTGTTGTCAAAGCCGTTCGACAACACGCACTGCATACGTGAACCCGTCTGTGGACGTCACCAGCACCATAGACATACATTACAGTATATATAGATTAGGTAGGCAGCTCTATACAGCTCTGGATGTAATCTGGGTGTAGTCTGTTTGTTATATGTCTGGTGTTTTACCTGCCTGCATGCTGAAACTACGTGACACGTTACAGCCAATACCGAAACTTGACACCGAAAAAGAGTGACGTTTCAATACATACACCGACCGGTGCAGTTCGGTCGGTGCCATAAAAGAACCTCGGTTCGGTACTCAGCCCTAGTCTTGAGCTTGAGTCTAGTTTTAGGGACACTCAGGAGTAGGTGGTCAAAGTCAGAGTCAGAGAGCTTTATTTGTCATTCGCACCCCATGTGGTGCATGTGGTGGAACGAGATTGTGTACACAGGGTCCCAGTTACATCCAACAATAAAATGTAAAAGAAAAACAGTAATAAGATCTAAGATATGAACTAAGATAAACATCAACCGAATAATACACTAAACACTAATAGCATAAAAACATTACGTCGAACATCAGCACGAACATGAGTCTGGGTGAGAAGATGAGCATGCATGAACACAGCAACATGATGTGATTCATCACAGTGATTATCTTGGTTAGATATTCATGAGTCTAACAGCCTCAGATAATCTGAATGAGCAGGGGGGGTTGTATGAATTCAATTTGTCTGCTGGCCTGCTTAAATAGAGAACTTTACTATTTGGCTTTTCTATGTATGTGAATGTTCCTGTAAAGTGCCCTGAGACAACTTTGTTGTGATTTTGCGCTTTACAAATAAACTGAATTGAAAATGAATCAAATGAATGCAGCAGTTCAGAGAAGTATGGTGGGGTAAGGTCATTCAAAAATTTAAAAGATTGAGGGTGATCCTTGATGAGTGGACGCTGGCGCTTTTTGCTGCCACTGCTCGTCGGTAAACTTTAGACATTTTATTTCCTTTTCTGCAAATTTTTTAACCGTCTTGTGATCGCTAATCGACGGCTACTACATTTGCCTGCCTTCAATCCAGCTTTTACCACACT